AGGTGCTCCTGAGCACACAGTGACTCCAGGGGTCAGTCACCCAACTGACAAATCCTAAAAACTCTAATTCATGAGCAAACCAGACCAGTCAACTTCCAGATACTGTTGCACCAGGAAAGGCAGACAGTCAAAGGGGACACAGTCCCTGTGGCCTTGCTCATTACTGAGCTCAGGGGAGCTTTGCTGCTGACACCAGTGGCCTCCAGGAAAGGTGGGCACAGGAGACACAGGGAGGGGCTGAGCCCAGCCAGCAGTGATGCCATCAGGCTCATCTCATTGCAGAGAGCTTTGGCAGGGCTTGCTGGTGAGCTGGTCTGGTTTTATTTAGGTCTTCTTCTATGATCTTGTCATCACTTTATGATGATTTTTTTTTTTTAACTTAATCCCATTTACACAACAGTTAATCCACTACCTGTCCCTGCCCTGACCTCAGCACCCTGAGACTCTGGTCCAGCACATGCAGGGATTGTCCTTGCCTGTCCCACAGCTTGCTGGGACACTGCTCACAGCTACAATCAGTGAGCTTGGAACCAGCCAAGGTCTGAGCATGTGGCCTGTGCAGAGCTGTGCCCTGGACCACTGATGTCTCTCCCACCCACTGCAGTGCCTCCCCCCAGCTTTGCTGGAATGGGGCATGGGTCCTCTCCAGTGTGCCCTCAGCTGAGCTCCTCCAGGACCAGCCTGGTTACACCAACACTGCCAGGGGGAGGAACAGAGCAGGAGGAGCAGTGCCAGCAGAGTGGCACTAGGAGAGGAAGGGAAAAGCGCCTGCAGTTTGCAAAGGGAGTTGTTTTGGGCAGGATGTGGCCAGAGTAGCTGGACCAGCAGGTCCAGCACAGACCTGCACCCTGTCCTCCTTCCCAGGTGCTCCAGTGCTGCTGGATGTGTGGTGGAGCTCTACTGTTGCAAATCCCAACTATGTAATTTTTTCCAACCTAATTTTCTCAGGAATTGACCCAGTTCTAGTATTTGGGAACTGGCATTCACTCTACTGGCAAATGTTTATTTGTTTCAAACAATGTGTCCAATGTGACCTTTTCTTTTTAAATAGCTTACACAATGGGAATACATGAATGCTAAATTCTAATCTTGCATAACTCTGAAAGCAGGGCCATACATTTACCAGCAGTAAGGGACTTCTTTCCCCATCCTTTGCAGGAAACAAGAAGGAAAAGCCAGCAGTGTGAAATTTCAGTGAAGGGACAACTCACCCATAACCTCCTTACCCCCAAAATTTACAGGGCTCTCAAGGCAACTGTGTTAACACTACACATTTCTGCATGTCTGTGCACATAGAGAAACAGAGAGGACACCTAACAGATGGAAAGGGACCTGATCTTGCCCATGCTGCTCCAAAACTTTGCCATTGACATCATCTGGCATGTGACAACACATACATTTGGCTTCTCATCAGCGATACCATAAGTCCTGTACAGGTGCTTGGAGGACACTTTTCTTCCTAACAAGAAGCACTCCTTCAGTTCCTGATGCCATTTCTCATGCTCTTTGTATGCCTGAACTCTTTCCCAGTATGCCTAAATTTGGCCATGAGAAGAGTCAGCCTGAGCCACAGCCCATTGCTTGTCAGGGCACGCACACCACAGCTCTACTCTTCCCAAAACATCCCCACTGTTCCTCCTGGAGAGCACTTACTGCAGTTCAATTCCTGCAGCTCACAGGAGGCAACACAGCTGTGACTGACTCATGTATGACTGGCCATGACCTTGAATGATCCTTAGTAGATCAGCAGGAACCATCAGATGCTTTTCCAGCACAGTGTATTTGGCAATAGATTTCTCACCTGGGGTAAGCCAGGTGTAGTTGAAGCACCTGCTCCTTGCAGAGTTCTCCAGGCTGGGGCAAGGGCAGGAGAGGAGGGATGAATAAACTGGGTGACAGGCAAGGCTGTACAAACTCATGGCTAAATGCCTGGTCACAGCAGAGGGGAGAGGAGAGGGATAATTCACTGCATTTCTTGCAGAGCCCCAAGAGCTGGGAGAGGCTGGATTTGTTCCAGAGCCAGAGAGATTATGGGAATGCTCTGTGGTGGGTCACACTGAGGGTGGTCCTGGAGACCCCCTGATGGAGCCAAGGCAATGCATGGGGCTGCAGTGAGCCAGGGGCTGTGGCTGCCAGCTGCTGGGGACAGCTGCGTGTCACCAGCTCCCACAGACAGCCTGCAGTGATTCTGCCATTTGGTTTTCATCTTAATGAGTCACTTCAATATTTCAAATATACCTTTGACCCACTTGAGCACATAACAGCACAATTAGCACCAGCACCTCAAAAAACCTAGCAATGTTCCTTCTGATGCTTAGTAAAGCCTCTGACCGAGTGGCCAAAGCCATCCCATTGCAATACAGCATCTGATCCCTGGGGAGCACACAGAAGAGTCTTTAAAAACCACAAGATTTCTGTGAAATGCAAAGCTTTGAGCCATGAAGCTGCCGAGGAGCCCCACACTCCAGAGATAGATGTGCTCCCACCCAGTTAGAGGTCAAGGTAAGAGCACTTTGATGATTTTAAACCCCCCTGTGAAAGTATTTGTTTATTTTTACTTGCCTTCTGAAATCATATTAATGTATTTAAATAACCGTACTGGAAATGAAAAGAAGCTCTCCGTGCTAACATGCACACATGATCCTTGGATGCTGCTGCTCACCAGCTCTGAGTTAGAGCTGCTACTTCTCCCAGCTCTGCAAGGCAGCTCTCTTTTGTCACTGCACCCTCAGACTTTCCTAAAACATAGACCTGCTGTCTACAGGTTTGTACTGACACTAGTTTTATCCTGTGTTTGATAGGTTAAAGAAGTAATTCCTCTGATTTCTTTTGCCTATCATTCTCGCTTCACAGTGAAACAGAAAAATTGCTGCTATTGCTGTAATAATAATATTTATGTAAGAACTATACTTATGTGATGGATTTATGTGATATAATAGTTACAATTATGTGATGGACTTGGGGGATTTGATATTAATTTAAATTGAAAATATGCTGTTAAAATTGGTGCGTATTTTTAGTTGCTGTTATGAGTTGCCAGCTTGAATTCCTGGTTTGTTTTAAACATATACAGATACCTTGGCCAGCATAACCTGTCTCCTCCTCTGGCTCCCCTAAGCCACTTCTTCCAGTGATGGGGGGGGGGGGCGGTTTGTTGGCTCCAGTCCTCAGATTTCTAAAGATCCCTCTGACTTGAAGTTCTGTCATTTAGCTGAGCCCCAATTTCCCAATGCTGCATGGTAGCTGTGTGTGCTGAGGAAGAAGCTGCTGTGCCAGAGTCTGATCTGGGATTTCACCTGCTTATGCCAGACTTGTGTGGGCAATATAAAGTGAGTTTGTTTTCTGAATAGATCTCAGTGATAAATTGCGTGCTCACACTGAGCCTGCCAAGTTCTTACTCAAGTGGTGCTCAAGCAGTGGCCTCAAGGTTCCAGAAAGATTAATGCTTGTATCTAGACCTATTTATATACCTAGAAATACCTGTATCTATATCTAGTCAATATCTCTCTCTCATCCTCCATCTCTATCTAATCTATACCTACACTTGTATCTATATGAAAAAAATTAAAACCCTGTCAGAATGCATGTGCTTTCTGGCATAGGGAAGCATACTGAACTGGGGTGTCTGTAGGCAGTAATTTCTACCCACCTTTAGCATGAAATCTGAAGGAAAGAATAGCCCCCTCCCTGGAAACTCTGCTCCTCTCTCTCTCAGTCCCCATCTTCCTTCCAGCAGACTTGCACAGGAATAGAAATTTGTCCCCTTCAAATATTGCCATGACAATGAAGAAGAAATTTCACAAGCATTCCTACCATTCCTACCAAGTCCTGAAACAGTAAAGGCAAAAGGTGGGGATAGCTGCATAAGATGTGTCTAGATAAGGCAAGCCTCAGGCATTCTATTTTCATGGTTTTTTTAATGAAAGTATCATTGGTCCAAGGCACTTCCTGTGGCAGGGAGTTGAATCACTTTCCACAGAAGGCATGAGACAGAGGGCTGGTGATTGAAGTATTGGCACCCATCTGCAGCGTGTATGTAGCTGGCCAGAAACTATTTCAAATGAAACCACATTTGGCCATCATCAAAATTTGCAAAGAGAAGTCCCTTGGGAAATAATTAATGAGTCTTGGTAAATAAGTAAAGCCACGCTTATTGTCATGCTGAGCCTGCAGATGGAATACCAGGGCCCCAGGGTAACACTGAAGCCTTTGAACTCTGCTGTGTCTCCACAGCCCCTCACAGCCCTGCTGCAGGACTGCTCTTCTGACCAGCACCTGCCCAGTGGGACCCCTGACCTCTGATGGCTTCCTGGAGGCTTTCCGTGCTTGCTGTGGCTGTGGTGTGGGACTGGGTGCTAGCCTCCTCCTCCCCCAGCACAGGTAAAGCCTAGCATGCTCTTGTGTCACTGCTTGGTGTTCACTTGGGCCCTTGGGGGAGTTTGTCCTTAAGCCAGAGCTTTTCTTCTCTGTGTGTGCATTGCTGTGTGAGTGGCTGGTTTATAAACATGTAATCCATGGTCTAAATATCTTATGTGTTTAGTGGCTATTTTTCTATTTGAAAGGAGAAAAGACTGCCTTTGGTGCGCAGCAAGTATTTTTTTTTTTGATAGAGAGTTATCAAATATAAACACTGCTATAAATGCTTGTGAGCATGGTCCCAGACAGACAGACTTTGCTAGGTGTAAGAAACACAAGGCTTATTTGTACTTGGAGAGTAACACTTCTAAGAGAATACTGCTTTGCAAGCTATCATACATGGCAATGGCACTTCAAGCACCAGCCCTCGAGCACCTCTTTGCTGCACTGCACCTGCTGGCTCTTTTGGCATCTGGCAGCTGGCATTTGCACCCTGAGAGATGCTGAGTAGGTCTGGCCCTCCCTGATGGAAGCAGTGCATGCTCAGCCATCAAGAAACTGCCTGTCCTGCTATCCAGCACTCACAGAAAGCTGCCACAACCCCCTGTCGGAATAAATTAGGCAAGGTTCCATTTTCTTCATGTGGGAAAAGCCAAATCTTTATTCACATAACTTATTTTACACAGTTTTCACAGACCTTATATGCAACATCTATTGGCTGGTAGTTTTCTTACTACTCTACTGATCAGAAGATGATTTGTACATACATACTAAGGTTCAGGTTGTTTACATTTTTCTTTTGTGGGTTCTCATCAGAACTAATGTTTATGCAGGTGTACTTATTTTTCACCCAAGAATAGGTTGTTATGTTAACAAAGTATTCATACCAAGATTGTTTTCACATGGGAACTTGCAAATTTAAAGCTGCACTTAGAAGAAATGACAGGCCAGCTATCAATCCAGCAGAGCAGGCCTGATTTTATGAGGCCTTTCTTTTACCTGTCTATGGCAACTCCCCTGCTGCCACGCTGAGCAAAGCCTGCTGCTTTTGAAATGGGCTCCAGAAAATATGAGTGTCACCTCCACCTCTCTGACCAGCACAGGGAAGGGTAGATATGACGGGGGTGGGGGTGTGGGGGGGGAGACAGCTGGGGGGACACCTGGCAGGCTGCTGTTTTTCCACTGGCAAAAAAGTTGGAAAATTGCAAACCCCACCTGCCTGTCAGAGGGCGTGGTGTGGACATAAGTGGTGGGGGGGCAGCTGGGGATAAGCAGGGGTTTGTCACCAAAGCAGTGATGCTGGTGGCAGTGCCAGGAGGGGTGGCTGTGAGGGCTGTGGCTGTCACACAGTCAAACTGCATTACCTGACTCACCACCACAAACATCAGGGGCAGGAGCTGTTTTGTTTTTTCCAAGAAACATCCAGAGCATCTTTCCTTCAAGACTGCATGAAGAAATAAAGCATTTCTAGTCCTGTGTTCTGTATGAGTGATGTGGATTTGAGTGAGACTGGTAATGTATTATTGTGAAAATGAGAAACTGCAAGAGGCAGTGCTTACATTTAAAAATCAAATCCCAGAATGCATTCAACATCCCAGAATGCAAGCAACATCCCAAAGAGAAGCTTTTCTGTTCCCTCTAAAATCCAGTCAAAATTTATTTTGCAAGAATTGCTGTTTACAATTGTTTTGAAAAAAATACCTCTGTTTTGCTCAAGCTCAAGATATAAATGAATTTCAGAGCATTCTCCTATCCAGATAGGAATTCCAGTTCTGACCAATCTAATCCTCTCTTGACAGCTTAACATGACAAAGGCTAGCAGCTTTTTGTTTCCTTGTTTGCATTTCTGTGAGGTTCAGCATTTCTACAATCAGGAGGAGCCTCCCAAGCACCTGGTCCAGTATCATCTAAATACATCTAAATACATCTTCTACTTCATCATCTAATGTAATAACAAATCTCCCATGGAACTTCACATACTGGGAAAAGTGGGATTTTCTAACTGCTGTGTTTTATTTGGGAAAATTTCTGTAGAAGAAACAAATCCTCCAGCAACGTACCCTGCAAACTTTCCAGGGAGCACATTAAAGCTGGATTTATGTTGCCATCTTCCACTGAAAAATATCCTTATGGTCTGCTTTCACAATGGATTTATTAAAAGAATACAAGAAAATAATGGTGTAAATCCTGATGAAGACATTAAAAAGGTGTTAGAGAAGCCAGTGATCTGAAGGCCAGATTCAAAGGGAGAATGGTGGTAATTCTGGACTGAAACTGCCAGGACATGGGCTCCAAATTCCTGTGAAACAAAGTGTATAATGCAATGAATATTTAGAAACCAAATGGATAATTTCACCTCTAGATAGTGGAGAAAAATGACCTTTGATGTTGACAAAAATTTACTTTGTTTCAGCTAATAAAACTGGGCAGCCATGGAGTTTGTCATGTGAATGACAACTCCATATAGAGCTGGACTTTTAGGACACATTTTAGGATGGAATTCATCCATACTTCCTTATATATTAACACATACCAGCACCTTGAAATACTTTTATAAAAGCCAGATCAACTGTAAAGTCACATTTCTGTGTAGCTGATAGATGTCTAAAATAAGAATTATTCTAATTCTCTGCTTTTTACCTTTTTTCCTGATTTTTTTCCCCCAATAATTTTTAATACACTTGAAAGGAATATTTAAAGTGATATGCGTGATTTGTGTCTATTATTGTAAAGGGATATAAATCTCCCTGACAGCATGGTTTGATCTGTCATTTTGTGTTGGTGGATGTGCTGAACACAATGTTTGAAGAGATAAGTGTCCTGAAGGTTGGTAAATATCAGGGGTTGAAGGTAAGACAATACAGGACATGAAAGGTCATCCCAGGACACTAGTTTTGCTTAAAACATCTTGGAAAGGGGTGTGAAAATACGGCATTCTGTGTGCTTTTTCAATGATCCTTGAGTGTTTTCTTTGACCACCAGCAAAAACTGTTTTTTTGGGGCTGGGCAGGGGCAGAGCTTGTGCATGTTTGTTGAACAGTCAGGGCTGCAGCACTTCCCTCCACATCCAGCAGCTGCATTTCAACAATTCATATCAAAGTATCACACCGACAAGTTTCATGACTGCTTTGGGTTTGTTTTCTTCACTTGGACATTCTGTTTTACCCTCTGCTCTGTTTTTAATGTAGTTGCTCCCCCACGAGACCTTCAGATCACTGACCCTGGGCTCCTGGGTTCTCTTGATGTCGAGTGGAAGCCTCCGCTCCACATCCAAACCTTCAAGAAGTGCACAGTAAAATACAATTTTGAATATCGCAACACTGGGGATAGAGACTGGAAGGTAAGGCAAAGCATGAAATAATCCTCCAAACCAGGGTTATTGTTCTGCCTTTACTTCCTGCATAGATTTCTGTCGGCATTTCAAGCAGGAGTGGAACCAAAGCTGTTCCAGTTTTCCATGAGAAACCAGACTGTTTCAGTGGTTTTAATGGGAATGTGTTTGGAAATGTAACAGCAGCAGCAGGCGGTGAAGGGGTTCTTTCTGTCACAGGGCTGGGTGTTTGCTGCCCAAAATAATTCAATAACATTCCTCATTGTATTCCTCATTTACAATTCCTCATTGTAAAAGGAAAAAAAAATTACACTTTTCTAAACCACCTTTATGGGGCTTGAACGGAAACAACAGATCCTTAGGGATGCAAAGCAGTGAACAAATAAAAGTTAGGTATCAATTATTATCCTAATGCTCTAAAATTCCCTCTATCCAGAACTGTGTTTCTAATTACCATGTACTTCTCTCTTTTAGATGTGGTTGACTGTAACTCAGCTCTTTGATAAAATTGTCAGTTATCTCTCATTGATGTGTAGCAGGGCGGTAGCAGGCACAACACAGGAAGGGTTGTTGGAATATATTTTGTGAGTACTTAAAAAATGAAAACTGCTGCAGGGTTAGGAAGGTAAATAGAATGGGGAGAGGAGAAACCCAGCAGTGAGGGCTGTTTGATTGGCACAAGGTACTGAGGAACACATGAAAAATATGCAGAGGATCTCCCTCAACACCTAAAATACAGATTGAAATCCTGAAAGAAAAATTGATTTTTTGCACAATCCTAAGGGAGGAGAGCTAGAGGGCTTGCCAGCTCAACAGACCAGGGAAAGAGAAGGAGCACTCAGTCAGGCTGGCAGTGCTGTGGAGCCTAGCTCCTTGCTGGCACAGGTCACCTGCTTGGGGCAGCAAAGCCAGGGCTGCCAGGCTGTGCTCAGCCACCACAGAAATGGGGTTAGGCCCAGGCACCCCATAGGAGCCTTCAGAGGGAAAAATCCTGTTTCAGCTATGGATTGCAATTGCAAGGGCATAGAAAGCGGCTCCTGGACCTGATGCTGGTCATGATGTACCTCATGCTCCCAGCTGTGCAGCAGTGTGCATCCTGTGCAGATCCCTACAGGATGATTTTAACTGCAATTTAAAAGAAAAAACATATGCAGTTTCAAAAAAAATCAAAATTCTTGAAATCATGAGTAATAAAAATTTCTTATATGACGCAGATGTACAGACTAGAGCAAACACCCTAGTGTTTTGACACCTTGCCAAAATGTTGACCTCAGATAAGGTCACAAAGAACAGTCAGGCTGAAAAAAACATCCATTGGACATCAGCAGAAGAAGATCAATGACATCATTGATATCTGTTAGAAATACCTGGCTCACCACATCTCTCGCACCTGGGGAGTGCTGAGGACTGCCTGACTGTGAGCTGTACTATTGCTGTTCCCACTGCAGCACACAGATGCATTTTATGGCACAGATGCACTTTATGGCACACTACCTCTGTCCTACATGGGCTAACACAACACTTTGTCTCATCATTTATTGTAAACCTTGTCAGCTTCCTTGTCCTTGCATAAAGTGAAGGGGAGTAAGTCTGAGGAAAAAAAATAGAAAAACCCTAAAAGGGGGTGCTCAGAAAGTCCCACAAAAGGCCAGGCCAGGTGGTACATAGTGGTGGGTGAGGCTGTGATGCACTGCCTGGCTGCTGGTCCACCCTTTCAGGGGGTGCTTGTGCTTCCCACAGGAACCAGCTTTAAAAGACTCGTTCTTTCTGTTTCTGATTATTTCACACCATTAAAAAAATGCCTTTTATGTGGATTTGTGGTGGTATCCTCCTCAGGCTGTCCACAGCGCCCCTTGCTGCTGGGGGTCCCATTAATCAGACTGCTCTGCCTTGTCCTGGCTGTGGCCTGTGGGTTGAAGCCAACAAAGCTGGGCACAGGAGCTGTAAATTAATGCTGGAGGAGTACTGGGCAAGTGAGGCAGGACAGATATGTAAAGAGACAATAAAGCACACGAATGAGATTATTTGCAGCTGGAGCAAGAGCAAAGATACCTAATTCTGCAGCCCGCTTAGTGACAGAAGAGGTGCTTAAAAAGTCTGTCTTTCAACCAGGTTATTTTTACTAGGAAGCTAAAACTCCGAATTGGATTTGACCTCAGCAGGACTGCTGAAGTGAGGCTGCAGACATTGCTCAAAGGACAGTGTACAGGTGATGTGGAGGTGCAGAGTGACTGGATTTATGGAACCTTTCAGATCCCACCACAAGGTTAGGAGCGGCCTGTGTCACCTGCTGCAGTTTTGTGCTTTGCATGAGTCTGTTGCATGAACCAGTGCTGGCTTGAGGGTTCCTGGATGGATACGTTATTGCAGAGCTTGCAGATATTTAAGACATTAGAGCAGCTCTGCTACCGAAGGCTGTGGTTGTGGTTACTGGATACTTGGGGTTTGTTTCCCTCTGCCCATACCCAAGCTCTGCTCAGCTACCCTGCAGGACTCCATTGCTGAATGAAAAGGTCAGTTAAGTGTCTTTCTGCTCTAAGGTGGACTGGCTGTTATGAGAAACAGAGCACTTGGCAGTAAAACTAATAATTCTGACTGGCTGCCTTTTCCTTGTTTTTTTTTTTTTTTTTTTTCTTTCCATTTTTTATCTTTCAACTGCAGCACACAGTGGTTCAAATGCATAAAACTGGTTTTTGCTGCGTCTGACCGGTACACTGTTAAATAGTGATTATTTCCTTCTCACTTGACAGGAAAACTTGATTCAGAGGTCCAGAATTTCAACTGCATCTATCATGACTGGGAATACCTGAAGTGCACCTGGCAGCCAGGTCTCCTCACACCTCATGGTGTACATTATGGGCTATATTATTGGTATGTAACAGAAAAATAGGAAAACATCCAGGCAGCAATCAAGTGAACTACTCTGAGTACAAAATGCCACAGTAAATATGCTTTTATAGCTGGCAGTGCTATTGTCCATTTCACCTAGAATGAGCCAAAATAATGTCCCAAGCAATACAGGGTTTCTGGCAAGAAAACACCAAAATCTTTCTTATTTTCTTAAAATCAGATCCATGCTGATCTTTGCCAGGAAATGTCTTCTGACTTCCTCCTTTCATTTTATTCATCCTCAGGAGGTATTTTCTGCATGTTGTCCACCATAAAGACTTGTGCTTTGTCTTTGCTAAACATTCCTGGATAGCTCTGGCTGCACATTTCCCATGATCACAGTGCATATATCTCAACTGGACAGGATTTAGCACAAGGCTACCAAGCTCAGTGAACCCTAGACACAGAGTGGAGCTTCCCAGCAACTTAGAGTTTTAGTGTTCAAATATATTTTCATAGCCTTAGCGCATAGCATACAAGCAAACATGCTTTAACAGGGTAATAATACATAATTCTCAGCTGTTTCTTTTAAGATGGTGCCTAAATTCTGTTCTGCAGGAAAAACATAGGTAGAATTAGTGGTTTGGAACAAAGTAAATACTGCATTTGTTCTTCAGCTCCTATGATATTATGCAAAGGATGACTTAGGCTGGGTTTCGTGCCACTGGATTATGTGAAGACAAGCATAGCTGCATTTTAAACAGGTTCCATGTAGTTCTTGGAAATAATCTTCAAAGCAAAAGCACCAATTCAAAACCATGTTGCTAACTGCAAAGATCTGCTTAAAGGAAACCATGGAAATGCATGATTCATGCCTAAAAGGAAAACAAACACTAAGAAAACCCAACCTCGATTCAATTGCCTTCAATAAAACCAGGCATTTGGATCTGGGTCCCATTTTATCACAAGATTGGGTGGACACGACGGCATCCTTTGATCCCTGTGAGCAAATTTTTATAGTACTAGAACATGAAGTTTTTACCCCAGACATAATGTGCTGTGCAAGGAGATTTTCATTAGGTCTGGAGTACAGGGATCAAATTCAGTCCTGTCGTGAGGGCATAAAGCAGCAGGAATCTTAAAAAGCAATATGAAACACCAGTCAATATTTCCAGAATGCAGTCAGCAGCTCAGTTTTGGAGAATAGCCCCCAAAGGCAGAAGGGACAGGGCTGTGGCTGCACATTAAGTGACAAAGAGTAAACCCCTTCCTAGCAAACCCTGAGTTTCTATGTGCCCATGGGGAGCCATGGGAACTACCTGCAGGCAGCCAGAGCAGTTCAGCAGCACTCAGTACATTCGTGGCACATGTCACCTGCGTAAAAACTTCATTTTGGTTTGGGAGGGGACCTTTCTGCAACTCCAGTGTCTGTGGCTGATAATGCAGGAAGGGCCCTAGGGGAGCATGACTGTCTCCATGAGTAGAGGCCAGATCCTTCCCCAGCTCCAGTCATGAAGTGGCACCTCTTGTGGTCCAGAAATGGGCTTGGGGAGATCCTGGCACAGCCTAAAAACCAACCTGAGAAGCTGTCTGTGCATGTTAATTTGGGTTTTTTCTCTTCTCCTCACTTTTACCAGAGCAGGAGTCCAGTTGACTGACCCACAGCACTGTGCTTTGGACAAAGGCTGGGATATGGGCAATACTTGAGGCTTATGTCCAATCTTATTAAAAATGTCTTACTAAGTAGTAATTTGTTCCGGTTACTTTTTTCTGTTTCCCTGCCCACTGCTAGGTACGAGGGGCTGGAGCAGGTGGTGCAGTGTGATCACTACATCCAGGATCATGGCATAAACCTCGGCTGCGTGCTACACAACCTCAGCCAGGCAGAATACCAGGATCTGAACATTTGTGTCAATGGCTCAGCAGCAGCCAGTCTGCTACGGCCACTGTACACCACCCTTCACCTTCACAACCTTGGTAAGGAGGGCAGGGAAACAACAGGGGACCATCGTGGCCACCACACACCCCAGGCCCACTTCCTGAATTAGGGGTCTCAATTCAATGTGTGCTTTTGTAACTGGGTGGTTGGAATGTGTGCCTTTCCCCCCAGGGAAGGGGCTGTGGCATGTGCCAAGCAGGACTTCAGTTTCTAGGAGTCTTTGCAGGCAAACAACACCACCCAGCACAACCCTCGAGGTCAGTGGGTGCCTCCAAACGCTCATTTGGCAGCTGGACAACTCAGGATATAAATGGCCTGCTGGGCATGTGGCAAAGCAGCTATGGGATTTTTGGCTCTAGCAGCACAGTCACAGAGATATCTTTATTTACTCCTGCTGGAATTGAAACCATTGCTGCACTCCTTGCAAGCACAGGAGAGATCTTTGGGCTCTGCTGTTCAAACCAAGCTAAGGTCTGGGGTGAGCTGAGTACAAGGTGTGATAGAGGCTGTCAGAGATGGATTTCAAAACCGTGAGAGACAGGAGAGAAAGGGAGCAGAGCACTGCATGATTTGCAAACACTACATGTACTCGGTGTTAGTTATGGTGTAATTTCATAAATGCACTTACCGTGTTGGTGCATTTGCCTACATGCCAGAAGGACAAATAGCCAGTCGTCCCACCGAGCCACCAGGCTTATGAGCAGGATTTCGGAATTCAGTTAGTGCTGCCACGTGCTTCATGTGTGGCTCTGGGTATCGGACATAGATCAGAGCCTTTTCTGTGATGCAGAGTGTGAGGCCAGCAGAATGTGCAGGGTCACTGCAGGGGCCGAGGCCGCCAGGGGAACGTGCCGGGCACAGCTCTCGCACCGCCGTGCCTCTAAAACTGCACCGCAGCCCACAGCAAGGACTCCGTCCTGCCTGTGTGTCAAGTTAAAATAAACAACATATCCTCCAGACTCGGTGGCATCTTGCTCCTTCAGCAGCCTTTCCGCCAGGAGCTCTCCGAGCGCACTTCCTGACCTTCTCTCTTTCTTTTCCCCTCCAGCCAAGCCCTCAGCCCCGGAGCAGCTGGTGGTTTCCGCGTCCGCAGCCGAGGAGCTGCGGGCGGCCTGGAGCCCCCCGGGCGGGCGGGCGCCGCCGCACTGCCTGGAGTACGAGGTGCAGGTGGCAGAAGATGCGGGGCAAGCCGCGGCTGCCTGGGCGGTAGGGACAGCACTCGGGGTGTCCCGGGGAAGGGAAGGGGTCGAGCAGCCGTGGCCGAGCCGGCAGGAGGGGGCACAGGCTGCAGCAGGGTGTGAGTCACCCCGGCGGGAATCGCTGACCGTCTGCTGCACAGCACACGCTCCTCCTTAACCCCCCGACCTCCAGCTGCAGGTCCGCTTCAGCAGGAGCAGATCCCCAGCAGGAGTCTCCAAGCTAGCATTTCCTTGGACCTCCTGCCTGTTATCTCAGAAAACTGACAGCGAGGAAATTTAAAGGTTGCTGTGGTTTGTTTCCTTGAATAGGGTGGCATAACTTGGACCAATGAAACTATAATTCTAATCTCTCAAGAGGAGTGGCCTTGAACAGAACATACCTTTTATGCGTGGTGCTTTTTCCTTGTATATTATCCAGGTGCAGTTTGGAGGCGAAACCAAAAAAGGCTAATTAATCATAGGGGACATCTCTTTTTTAATTGCCATATTCCACTCATGAGTCTACTTAATTAAACGAAAGATTCCATAAATTAATTGGCATAAATGGCAATATACATGACAACACATCCAGAAAGTATTTTCAGTAGATTTGCCTTCACAGTCATCTTATTTGCATTAGCTTGCACAAAACTATTGTGAAATCATTTAAAACTGCCAAAAGATAATCCAAAGGTTTACAGAACCTGGACAATGTGCAGGAACATCAGGCCACACCAGACAGATCCTGGTGGTGGCACATAATTCTTTGATATATCTTTCTGTTTTGTTTCTCAGTTTGTGTCGACCCAAATGGAAACCACTGTAACCATTTCCAGAGCAAATCAAAGCCACATTTCATGTGTTCGTGTCAGGGGGAGAGCAAACATTTTTTGTGCAGACCAAGGCTTTTGGAGTGAATGGACGCAGGATTGCTTCTCTGGTATGGAACTCAAAGTAAATGGTGTTTCTTTTATTTGGTTTATAAAACCTGTTTGGGTGCAAGTGCTCATGGTTGCCCAGGGGATCTGCTGCCCAGGGACCTCTGCACTGGAGGTGGGCTGCTGGATTAGTTTCACCTTCAACCTGCTCCAGCACAACAATTCCTGCAGCTTTGCATCTGCAGTGCACTTAGAAGGTGAGCCCCAAAATATTAATGCTTCTGCAGCAGCACCTTTCCCTGCTGCATGGGGACAGCTGGGATGGAGGAGTGACTGCTGAGCAAGAGAGGGCACAGGGTACTTGCAGTTTCTGGACAGGGCATCCTCCTGGCTGTCCTGCACCACAGATTAGCTCCTCTGAACCCTTAGGCTCTCTTGGGCTGTCCTTGTGTGTACTGTCTCTGCTGCAAGGTGCAGAAGGCAGGGGAGAAGCACTTAGCAGTGACTGTATCTATGTGCCAGAGATATAAAACCCTGAAGCAGGATGTGACCCCACCCAGTAACATATACCTGTAACAAACAAGCAAACAAACAAACAAACAAATAGAACCATGTAGGGTAACATGGACAAGATGAGTTTGTGTCTGAGCCCAAGCTTCATAGGAGGTAATATAATCCATTCTAACATCTTCTTATTTCCTGCTATTTATCTTTGCAGTGTCCAGAAAAGAGGACAAGGAGCTATTTATCCTCATTCCAGTCATCCTGTGCTTGTCAATTACCCTCATAATATTTATGTTGATTGGCCAGTGCAAGAAAAGGTAAGCACTAAGGTAGCCTGTCCAAGCAATATGCTTTTTTTTGGTGTCTAACAATTTATAGCTACAGTTGTAACTGAAACATCACATTAAATGTCTAAGGTCCAAACATTAATAGATGCTCTAAGATTGGACACCAAACAATAGTTCATTTTCAGTAAACAACCTTTCTGAGTGGGTCTGTTTCTGATATGAAATGCCCCTACAGCAACCCATAAACTTACTGCAGAGACACAAATCCTGCTCATAAGAGCTCAGACTGCTTCTGTTAAATGCAGCAGTTACTTACATGCACAGCAGCACAAATGAAGCTATTATCACGTCCCAAAATACTCAAGAGCAAATATTTGTCCTAGCTGTGTTAAAGCAGTACCATTTTAATGGGCTAAATCCTCATTCTTTTGGCAGTCACATCCCAGGTGTTTACATTCATGTCAGTGATGACACAAGGGAAAGCAGATGAGTGGATGAATTTGTCTGGTTTTACTGATGATAATTTCTTCAGGTCTGAGAGAACTGATGCCCCAAGTACTGATAACTATTTTATTTTCCTGATGGCTATGTAGCATAATGAAGCAGGAAGCTTTTCTAATAAGCCTTTCAAGGCATCACTCATGAGGGGGAACTGGCTCTAGAAATACCCTTGTGTGGTCCTCAAAGATGAACTGACACCTGTTTGCAGTCCCAAACACACACTTCTTCATCTTTGCTGTGTATCTGCCTTCCAAATGTTTTGGTTTGTGAAATTCAAGCAAACTGTAGATGCTAGTGAGAAATCTGTGGAAAGCAAATGCTTCCTGCTTTGCCACTGGGATGTGGCAATGTCTGACAGGGATGCTGGAGCATGTCCTCAGCTCTCTCAGTGTTGGGAATAACAGGCTGTGTCCCTTTCAGATCCCCATCAGGAAAGCCATTGCAGGCATCTGTGGGATACTAACTGCCTGTGCATATTGTACTGATCATGTTTGATGGGTTACTCATGGAACTATCCCAAGGACAGCCAAGGAGCCCTGAGTTTTCTGCAGACCAGGTGGGTCTTCCCTGCCTGCTGCCACTTGTGAAGGCAGTTGTTGCAATCCCAGTCCTTAACGGGCCCAGGAAAACTGGAGGGGCTTAAACTGACTGCAGAAAAACTGGAAGAAGTCTAAACTGACTCTGAAGCAAGGTGTTTCTGATAACAGGACAAGGGAGAAAAGAGAGGCAGTGGAAACTGTCATGAATAAAGATAATGTGTTGTTCTGTGGGCTTGCTTGGCTTTTTTCTTTTGTGAAGACTCCAGAAATCTGTCAGCGGAACACACACACTGAAAGGCAGCACCTCACACACATGTGCAAACACCTGCATCCAGCCCCTGTGCCTACCTTGCTCTCACCAGGTCTTCCCTGTTCCCAAATATTTAGCCTACTGAGATCATCTAAATGCTGAACAGGAGCTACCTGAGATATTCATTTCAGCAGATGATATGCCTTATCTGTTGAAAAGCTCAGGCACAGAGGCCTTGAGAGAAACTTTTGCTATAAAGAGGCATGACCACAGCTACTGCAAAGGAGAGATGATTCAGAGGAGAAGTGAGGGTCATTTCAGTAAATGTGACATGGGAATTTCTCTAGGAACTGGACACTGGCATAAGAATTCAATGAAGCACACCTGGTGTTTCTCAACACCATGTGGTCACGTGTTGAAATTGCTGACTGATTTTTTAGGAATCATTGCCTATGATGATGATAGAAAATAAAAACTTAAAAAGCATCGCTGGATGAGATACCCTTTTCCAAGCCCATTCTGGGGGTTTTTTTTTTTGCTTAAAGAACTAAGGCAAACACAGGGGTTTAGTGTGGTTTCGTTCTATTGGAACAACCCTGAAAATGTATTTTCTTGAAGGAGCATTTATTCAAAGTGGGAATTTCTAATGAACAGTGGAAGCTCAGAGAGAAAATCAAGTTTGTGTCAATCAGCTATGCAAAGAGCCATACTAATCCAATCAGAAACAAAAACAACACAGCAAATGTTGGATGCACATTACACATCCAACTGCAAAATTATTCAATCACTATCAGCTGCTTCCACTGCTAAATGGGCAACAGCCCAATGTAATTTGGGGAGCAACCTAAGGAGGAAAGAACTAGGGGGGAAAAAAGTCAACACATGGACTGAAGCAGAAATGAAGTTTCATGGTTGTTGTAATTCTGCTGAGACACAACCTCTGCCTCTACTGTCTCCTGGGAAGCCAACATAAGATGGCTTTACTTTGAAAAATACCCATGAGCATGCACTGGGCTTAGATTTTCAGAACTGCCATCAGGCCTCTGATGTTCTGCCAGACACTTAAACAGTTAAAATATCTACTAAAAACACATTAGTACATTGTGAATGTCCCCAAGGGAAAAAGTAGGGCAGGCAGCCAAGCCCAGCCTGTTGCCCTGGGTACATCTGGTGCAATCTCACCTACTTTCCCATGTGGGAATGCTGGACACAGGCATTTGGATTGGGACAAGTACTGCGGCAGCTTCAACCTGCTGGATGGGTTTAAACTGAGCTAAAGTCTCTACTCCAATTTTAGCCCCCCCAAAAAAGGCAAGAAGGGAAGAAGAATTAAAGTGCATGGGTGCAAGTAAGAGATAGCTAAGGAAAGGCTGTTTTATCTCCACAGCTAGAACTCACCCCAAAGAAAGATCAGAGCTATTTGAGTAACCACAAAATATAAAAGTTAGGCTGAAGCCTGCCTAGAAACCTGCCTAGTAACAGTGATAAATTAAGCTCATCTACTTATGGTATCTGTATGCTGCAGCTTCACAGGAGCATTTAGGTGAGGAAAGCTGGGCTTGGCCCCAGTGCAGGGCTCCCTGCTCCCCAAAGTCATCCCTGCAGAGGGTCCTTACTGCAGCAGCAGCAGCAAAACATTTCCCACCTGCTTTCTCACAGTGTCACAGTCACATCTGAAACATTTGCAAAATTCAGCCCTAATAGATGGCCACTTGCCTTCCTAAGATCCTGAACATTGCTAGAATTTCAGTAGTGGTTTTTTATCCTGTGTTTATAGAATTACACCAATGTATTTCTTTCACACAGTAGTCTCGTAGAGTGTTTTAATTCATTTGCTGTAGTCCATAATTAATATTTTTAGTAAAGCACTTTTAAAATCCCTCCTTTGACATGCTCTGCTCTTATTCTTCTCAGCTC